AAAAGGCAAAGCCTGTTTTAAGGAACAAAAACAAGAAGTTGCAGAAATGAATGTGGAAAAATCGATCAGAAAAAAGCTTGAAACATTAGTGAAAATTTAAAAAATGAATTTTGAATATAACTTCATCCGTCATTCTTAGAATGTCTCTGAAAAGGGAGAAAAGGGCCAGAGAGAGAGAGAGAGAGAGAGAGAGAGAGAGAGAGATGTTTCCCTAATTGTGATCTGAAAAGTGTGGTGTGCCCTCAGCTCCCTATAGTGTGTAGAACCACATTTTACTGGTAATTAAGTATCTCTGGCTTCTTTGCACATCTGGAGATACATTTTTGTAAATTCTTTCTTGCAAAATATCCTAAGCTTTACCAGACGTGTTGGAAGGTAACCTGGCAGTAGATAGATTGATGCATGTAGAACTGAGTTAGTTCTATGTTCAATATCAATATCAATCTGGAATGGCTGCCGTTCATTTAGTGCAATACTTGGAGCTGATGGGGTGGGGTGCCAGCTAGCACCCGCCTTCTATAATACGCTGTCAGCCAATCGTAGCAGCGAATCGTGACGCTTCGTTAGCTGATAAATCAAACTTTTTCTAAATCCTGTCAGAAGAGAAGCACAGACATTTTCCCATCTATAAATCCACAAAGTGCTTCTCTTTGCTTCTTATGTCAACAAGTAATTGTCGCTATTCTAGTTAAAACCAAATGCTATGGACAGGTGAGTTCTCCAGCTTTGCCATGTTTGTAAGCAACGCCCCTCTGACCGGCGCCATTCCTACATGTTCTGCCCCTAAAAACCCTGCTGGCATGTGATTGGTCAGACTCGCTGGTGGTCCGCAGAGGGGCGTATCAGCAGGAGTCTTTCAAGATGGATTTGTTGTGAGACTGAAACCTCAGATAATCCAGCTTGCATTGCAAGGTTAGATGGAAGGTTTAGTCTTTCTGAAGGATGGAAAATGGATTTCAGACAGAATCTGTCTGTTAGACTCCTGCTGTTTCTAAACAGCTTATGGACAAAGATTTAATGGACTTTCCTTTCCTTTACTAATGACCTTCCTCTCAGAATATTTACATAAGGAGCAGATTGAATAAGAACATGACTGAAAGCTGTCCTAATACTAGATTCCCTCATCTGAGCTCTAGATCTGTGCAGCTCCTCCAAAGTCACAGTTGTTTTTTTTTTTATCATTTTGTATTTTTGGTGCGTTTGTGGTTGTTTTTTTTCTGCACAGAACAACGGAGGTAAAAGTGCAAAATAAATACACCTCATTTTTATTTGCAAGCATTTTTAAACCATGTCTTTTTAAGCAAATGACTAAACTTCTTCTTTTAACATATTTGAACACATAGATTAATGATTTTCTTTCACCTTGATATAGAATAAAAAGGACGTATACATGTCGGTCGGACATGCATACAGTTTAACCGATGTGTGATAAACTCATTTCTCTGCAACATAATGGTAAGGAAAACATTTCTCTGAACCTCTGAATAGGCGATAGGAGGAAAGCACACCCACACATTCTGCTGCTTTAGTTGGAAATAACTATTGATTTTAATGAGTTTGACCAAGAGGTTAAAGTAAAGATTTATTCATAAATAAAGTCAGGAATGAAGCTTTTGTTAATCTATTTCTAAAAAGGGTTTACATTAAATTGTGTCAAACGTGGAAAATGGATCAAACTAAATAAGCATTTCTATATGTAATAAGTAAAATAAATATGAAGCTAAATAAATAAAAACATCCATCCCTCCATTCTCTGTCACATTTATCCCTGCTGGGGAGGGGGGCGCTGGTGCCTATATATGGTCATCTCTCTACAGGCGACAGGCGGGGTCCACCCTGGACAGGTCGCCAGTCCATCACAGGGCTAAATAAAACATTTAAATGTAAAATCTTATAAATGCACAATGTGAATAAGGTTTATTTATAACTAGTGTTAAGTGGCTTCATTTAAAATGACTCTAACCGTAATAAACACAGTGAACTTTATTTGTTCAATTCAGAGTATAAATATAAAAATAAGCTCCTATTTGGGTGTAACCTCAAAATAATTCATTATAAATCCGTCCTTTTTCTATATCTGCTTCCCCATCAGGGGCCTGGGGGGGGCGCTGCCGTCCCCCAGCAGTCTTTGGACAAAAGGCGGGGTCCAACCTGGACATGTCACCAGCTGAGGACGGGAAACATCACCTATTTATTCTGTATTTGAAATAAAAATCTATTCTGTTTGCTTTTTATATATATGGTACCAACTGTTAATCATTGTTAATAAATCAGATAAAATAATTACATTTAACATTTTACTGTTGCAGATTTGAACTTCTGTACTTTATATGTTATTAATTGATGTTCAGTATTAAATTTTGACATTAAACTCTTAAAGTTCAACTTTGTTTTGAAGGAACTAAAACCTCAGGAACATTATTTTCCATTGATTATATAACCGACTAACTTAATTAGTTTCATTTGGTTTGGCAATTAAAAAAACTAAATTCTGCTGTAATGGCATTTTTCTTTCTATGGTTGATTGAGGCTGAGAAATAAGAGAGTTAAGTAATTAGACCTTAAAAATGAAGGAAAACATTCAGTATAAAGCCGCGTTTCAATAATTAAGAAGAAGCAAAGGGAAGATTTAGGAAAAACTGTGTTGAGAGGAAGAATGAGTGAAAATAAGAGATTGCTTTATTTTTTGTTTGCAGGGAAGTTAAAAGCAAAGGAACCTGTTTGTTTAAATTGGTCACAGGATAATTAGCCGTTTTCGTTGCTTTGGTCTGGGACGGCTGTTCCTCAGAGGGACAACTTTGGAATAAAACACTGCTTGAAGTTAACAATCCTGCTTTGATACCATTTCAAGTTTGTGGTTTTTGATTTTCTTTACCAGAAGAAAAGAAGACTTCCTGTTTTTTTTTTCACTAGCTGTGATCTGCATGATAGAAATATGTGATCTTCTCTACAGTTGAAGGCAGTTTGTCTGCTGACTCACCGATGACATATGTGAGCAGCAGAGCCAGCGCCAGCGTGAGCAGAGATGCTGACAGCGCCGTGCACTTCCAGTTGCAGCAGCGGTGAGGCTTGTTGAAGGTAAACAGTGGCCTGGTCACACTGCTGCGCGGGAGCGGCCGTGGTGGGGGGGAATACACCGTCCCAGAGGTCAGAGGGTAGCCCTGCCCTGCGCCTGACAGGAGGGCAGATGAACCGGAGCCCTGCTTGAACAGGAAATGTCTGCAGGAAGAAGAAAAGCACAGAAAACACAGTAAATTCCAATATTCCCCGATTACTAGGATTGGACAACACGCCATGTTTGCATACATTGATATTTATATTAAATGATGGTTCTGGCTCATCCCAGGCCTGTAACTGTTGGCCTTTCAGTCAGATAAATATCAGCTCTGACTGTTTAATAAAGGAGCTTGACTTTGAAATCCTCCCGACTGAATTGTTTGAAAGAAACAGCTTTTTAAAAAAAGGAGCTTTGAAAATCCATTTATCTTCAACTTTATACAGCGCAGGGTTTTCATGCATCCTTCATTTCTTTATATTTGGCTTTTAAAAAAATTCATTTTATGCACATTATAACAGACGTACTGACGGTGTTTCTTTGCTTATGTCTTGATAGTTTTTATTGTTTTTGTTTTGTGATTGCAGGTGGAGAACTAATAAACCCCTTAACAGTCATGAAGGATTGCTGATAAAAATAAAATAACACTGGATAGATAATGCTTCAGATGATCATCAGAATGCGAAGCTATCACCTCATGTTGGAGCTAAAAATACAGATTTAGTGTCCGGATCTTTGGGACAAAGGAAATAGATCAGGACTACTGAGAGAAAATATTAGTTCCTAAAGTTTTATGAAATTATAATAATAAGCCTTTCTGTGGTTTGCAGGAAGTGAAAAGGGAAAGGCAGCGAAACGCTTAAACCAAAACCTCAAAGCATCTTTTAAGCATAGCAGCTTTTCTGGTGAAACAGCTGATTGCTGCTGAATCATCATCTAGTCCATGTTTAGGTTCACAGCCGACCAACGGCTCACCAGGACCTACAGTGACTCAGCACGACTTGGCTTGGAGGGTCAAAACAAAAGATGAACCTAAACAGGTGGAAGCTTTAAGGAACTGCATGTTAAATATGTTTAAAAAAAAATCATTCAGAAACAGCAAAGACAAGGAAATAAATATGTCATCTCGGTGCCAGATTTTCTGATGATGCTAATTAGGGATTCACTTTGTTGGAGCCTGCACTCTGATTTATCACTCTTTTAATAAACAATCTAAATAAATATGAGATGGGTGCAGATGAAAGATTTCTAGAATCGGTCTAGAGTCATTTTTTATGATTCAGTTCTGCAGTTTAATAAAACCTGTACAGGAAGCGTAGATCCAGAGGTTCCAGAGCGGTTTGGGTCAGAACTCTTCCGTCTTCCAGGTTGGTGATTCAACAGTAATTTTGATAAACTTAAATATTGGCAAACCCGAGAAGAAAGCTAAAATATATGTTCCTAATATGTTTGATTGTTTACGAAAAGCTACAAAATAACATTTTTAAAAGTCTGAATTAGAGTGACTGCAGGCTTTTAATAAACTTCATTTCAAAGCTGAACCTCACGGTACGTAAATAATTTGGTGAACTGATCACTAAACATTTCATTTATTGCTTGTTTATCACAGAAATAGAAGAAAACTGTAAGAGTTTAAACACCTAACCACTAAGTGGGAGAAGGTGTGTCCCACTCTGGGTTCATGGACGCCCCCGTCTCCCACTCTGGTGTAACTACCATGGTTGCCCTGGTAACAGTTAAACACCTCTGATTGGTTGACTCTTCTTTGAAGGTGGTGTAAAGCAAGCTGTCAGTTAATTGCTGTCCTGATCTTAAGAGGTGCAGCAGGAGCCATTTTTGCATCTTGTGTTCCAAAAAGGGAAATACCACATGGGAGCTCCGTCTGCATCTCTCTAAGGAAGACTGTAGTGGGAAGATGGGGAAGTCACGGTTTCTGCGCTGGCCTATCTAGGACAGCGCTTCACCAATTACTATAGAAAGACACAGGCTGCTCTTTTTCCTCAGGTATTCTATGTCTTATTCAGATTCTATTTATGTAAATCTGGACTCCATGGGATTAAGTCTCACTCTGAGCTACACCTGAATGAAGCTCATTTAAAGCGCCCTTAAGGGGGGGGGGGGCATGTTGGGTTCAGATATTAACCAGACAAATGGTCTGTTCACAGATCTAGTCCAGCGACCCCCTGACCTGCCAAATCAGCTCTTATTTAATGTTCAGTCATTCAGCAGAGTTAATTACCCACATGTTGTGATGCACTTATGTGCTTTTAATCTTACCGTGGTTTTTAAATGGCAGAAAATGGACTATCAAAAATTAAAAAGGGAAGTTATAATCAAGGAGAAGTGGCGTAAAAAAAAAAAAAAAAAAAAGCAGCAGGACTCTTTTTGCAATTTAGATTATGTTCCATAAAACATTTTTGGAGCAGGCAATCCAGTGCCGTACAACAGTATTAACATCTAGTAAACCTTTTCACACTTTTTAATATTACAACCACACATTTTAACGAGTTTTATTGCAATTTTATGGGGTGCTACAGATTGGTGTACAGTAGAAGAAAAATAACCAAATGTTTTAAAAGCTACTGATGTAGCCAGACGTGCATTCAGCCCACAGAGATCTTAGAAAGCATTTTAACTTCTTAGCAAATTTAGCAGAATAGTTTGAGCCGTATAGCTTTTCTGCACCGTCAGCCACATTAGGAAATCAGATTAGAATCTATGAACATTAAATCTGAGATCTCCCAGTCTATCAAATCCAAATAAGATGCATTAAAGTTTATGGTTGTAAGGCAGTAAAATGTAGATAGATTCCAGTTTTGCAGATAGTTTTACAATAAACTGATTAAAATATAACAGAGACATTCAAAATGTATCAAAAATATTCTAAGCTAACCCACCAAACAACCGGCAACAGTAATTCCCATGAAAATCCAACTTTTCTCATAACACTCTTCAGATTTAACATAAGCCATAGAATATTAAAATGCAATCTCTTATCCCGCCCAAGTCCTCCTTCCTTTGAGGAACCCCAGATTTAACCAGGGGGCTTCTCTGGTGCAACCTCATAAGCTACTGCTGCAATGCAGAGCAGCAATAATATGAAACAGATTGAAATAGCGCCGGCACCCACGGATCAATGCCTTACCTATTCCCTTTGACACATCAAAGCAACTACTTAAGTTATAAGGCTGTTAGATGACGACGGGGCTCATTTTCATTACCAAATGTCTTAGACAGTAGATGAAGATCGGGGATGGAGCTGAAGGGCAATTAATCTGGGTACCATTTCATCTATATTGTGTTTAGATAATGGAGGGCAGAGGCTGGTGGTGGCAGACCAGCATGAGAATGGGGGCCGTTTTCCAATTTGGAAAAGTGGATCTAGGCAGAAGAAGAATTAATAGAAACTCCAGCTCATTGTAGCATCATAGAACGGCTGCATGGGCCGAAACTCAAGGAATACTTTCATTTTTATGACTGTGTTTTTATGGTTTCCAATCATCATAACAAATGAAAACAATATTTCTGAGCTCCTTGAATTCACAGACAACATGATTGCCCCGGGTTACGGTGCGCTCTCTGGGGGGTTAATGCTGCTTTCAAAGTGTATGTTGAGCTGCAGAGTGTAACTTTGAGCATGCTGGGAAAAGATGAGAGGTCGAGGGCCGCTGGTCCCTGAAGGGCCCTTAGAGAACAGGCCATTAGAGTGAGGGTCATAGAGCAATGCGACTGCACCACCGGACACCATGTCCTCATAACAACCAAACCTCAAACACCTCATCATTAAACGCATTTAGTCTCATTCAGCCCTGAAGACGGATCCATTAAAAACTCTGCAGGGTTTTGATCCTGAACTTTCTTGTTCTTGATGTTAGATGAATTCTCAGAAGGAAGCACATTACGAGCAAATCCACACAAACACAACTTTATACAGATCTTTCTTTTTACACTTTATTTTGACTTACACTTTACTAGAGTAAATTTACTATAAAATATTTCCACTGTTGTGGACTACTTTACACAGATAACTTTAATTAATGGCAAAAAAAGCACATTTTGAGCTAAAATGCACCAGAGAGACCAAACACTGCAAAAAAATAAAATCTAAATAAGTAGTTTTTTCTTAAATTAAGTGCATTTTGTCTTGAATTGAGGATGTAAGCGAAACACTTTGCCAAAGGAACAAGACAATTAGAAAAAGACAATCACGTTGTCTTATTGCAAGTGGATTTTATCTAATTGTTTTATCTTGAAGAGTGTTTTATCTAATATTTTATCCATTCCTAGATGATGGTACAGTTTTAGTTCAGCTAAATGAGCGTTCTGTTCTCCACCAGCTTCATTGTCTTAATTGCACCTGCTAAGCTTTCTCTGACATATAAAGGTCAAGATATTATACAGTAGAAAGTAGAATTTTCCCTGGAGGCAGTTTACCTCGCTGTAACATGCAGCTGATTACACACTGGATTTGTCTTATAGGTTTAATGTTGAAAAAATAGTTGAAGAAATGTTTCTTCAATTTCTTCCTCTGAGTTTTCTAAGAACGTTATATCTGGTGTTTCTAATTACATCTTTTATTTACAGTTTTCCTTGACAGAAACTTTGAACCAATCTGAATCCATTGTCTCTATAAAGCACCTGGAGGTGACGTGTTGTGAATTGGCATCAATCAGCCGCCATGTTTATTTATTCTTCTTACCGTCTCTTTTTTTTTTTGCGGTTACTCGAGTCATTTCTTGGAAGCTCACTTTTATTTTTACTTGAGTAGAATTATGTTAAAGTAGTTCTGCTCTTATTTTCAGTTAGTCTATGAAACGCTGATTTTTAAATTTTTTTATTTGTAATTTAATGTAAAAAAAACAGCTAAATGTTGGTGTGTTTGAAAAAAAAAACGATGTTTGGGAATTTACTGTTCTGTTCTGTATTATACAATTCAGTCTCAATTTCCTGCAAAGACGAATAGTGGAAAAGAAAACCAGAAGAAAACCTCTTATCTTTTAGTCAGGTAAATCGTGCAATAGTTTAGTTACAGCAGCAGCTATTCAAAATGTCCCCATTTTCCTTGACTGGTCCTTGGCTGGTCACCTACAATTGCTTTTTTAAACATCAATCTCTTTGTACTAAAATATTCTGTCATGATTTGTGGACATTAAGATCTAAAGAG